CCCATTTACTCTGACCCCATTAGCCCCTGACCCCATGGACCTCTGACCCTATGGATTCCTGACCCCATTTACTCTGACCCCATTAGCCCCTGACCCCATGGACCTCTGACCCTATGGATTCCTGACCCCATGGACTCTGACCCCATTAACCCCTGATCCTTTGGACCTCTGACCCCATGGAACTCTAACCCTATGGACCTCTGAACCCATGGATCCCTGACCCCATTAACCCCTGATCCTTTGCGCCTCTGACCCCTTTCATCACTGTCTTGTTGGAGCTCTGACATATTGGATCTCTGACCCCATGGACCTCTGACCCTATTAATCCCTGATCCTTTGGACCTCTGACCCTATTGACCTCTGACCCCATTGACCACTGTCTTGTTGGAGGTCTGACATATTGGACCTCTGACCCCATGGACCCTATGGATCGCTAACCTTTCCCATTGGGAACCTACTAGCACTAAGTTGCTAACTGGTTAGCAAGATGCTTCCAACAAACCGGCCACAACTGAAGTTGCTTGCGAACCTTCCACCACAACAATCCCACCCCCTTGATAAAGGACCAATCACATTCACTTTATTCACTCGTGTAAAGTCGTGCACCACTCGGGAGAATTCAGAAATGCAACGGGTGGAACTGCCGCTTCCCTACGACTTTCATTTAAAAGTGATTTAAAAAGGACCAGGGGTAGCCAGCTGAATGAAACCAAAGGAATAGATTTGATTAAAAACGGTCAAACATTTCTTAACCAAATAACTTATAGGTGGAAAAGTTGGGTTTGAATTGAGATAAACTGGTTCTGGTGGAACTGTGACCCATTAGAGACCGAAACCTGTCTCTGCTTTCCTCCGCTGAGACATCCTAGTGGTTCTTTGGAGTGTGCCTTCAAGCCTCTGAGCTTCTCAGGGAAGAACAATGGAGGCAAACAGGAGTATTTGTTTCCAGCTAAGTCCCACCGGGTTCCTCCAGCATCTGCTTCCCCGCTAATCAATGCAGAGGCTTCTCCCTCTGACAGGCGGCTGCTCACCTGCCGGCGCTCTCGGACACTCCTGCTAAATGCAGCGCGGCGGCATGGAGGTAATCTCACACACACATGCAGGCCGGGGGGCGAGCTGGCCTCCGGGCGCCGCTGTGAGTTTGTGATTAGAGCGAAAGGTGGGAAGACTCAAATACTCACCCCTGTTAAGGTCTTTATGTTATGCAGTGCATTCTGGGCTTCAAGGGCAGCTTTCCTTGTGTAAAACGTGACAAAACAGCAGCCTGGAGAAAAAGAAAGGAAAGAGAGGCGAGGGATCAGCAGGAGCAGCGACAAAGAGCGTCTTCTATATTCATCTACTTGGCATCACCTGTCGACACCTGCAGACGCTGAGTGAATATTAACAACACAAACATGCAAGGTGGAGAAGAGGAGGAGGCGTTTGGATCTGTTTCAAAGCTTGATGACTCCAGTCAGGAGGAGGAGGGGGGGGCGAATAAAAACAGGAGAAAAGGAGGAGGAAGGAGCTGCTTTCTGCTCATTAATCCATCGCTAATCAGTCAACAGTCTGACATCAGGAAGCTCCGTGTTTGACTTTGCTCTGATTTACTCATTCATGGTTTCTACTGAACGTCTGATCGACCCAGAGAGCAGAATCCACATCCTGCGCATTAAAAACAAGCATCAACATCACTTTCATTACGTCTGCGTTCCCTAAAGAAACGAAAGCTGAGTTTGTAAAGATGTAGAAACGGAACCAGAAGCATGAAATGCAGACATCCTGGACACAGACAACAGTTAGGTTTGAACTATTTTAGCTAAAGCAGACGATCATTTTCTAAAATAGCTAAATATTAATAATGACTGAAAAAAAGGTCAGCCTCACCAGAACATTTTTTATCATAATCTGCTACTTTAAATAGTATTTAACACTGAGATTAAATGCAGGTGTTTATGCATCCATGTTATACATTGAGTTTTTCAATACAAAATATAAAAAATAGAAAGTTTTTCCATTTAAATTTTAAATCTGAATAGTTTTTCTAAAGTAGAGAACAACAATCTTTCAGTTTGGTATACGGACAATTTCCTGACTCGCTTTTTTTTATTAGAAAAATTGTCTTGATGCCAAAAACGATCCAGCAGATTTTGCTTTCACAAGTGGAGCAGTACGGCTATCGCCATAGTGTTCCCCTTGATTTATGCATATAACTAGCTTTATTATGATTCATACAGGGAGTATTATATATTATATGGACACTGCAATGTAAGTAGAACAGGAAAAATGAGAAAAGATGAAAGAAAGAAGAGATAAAATGGAGATAATGATATTATATCATCACTTTTTTTTAAATAAAACACCTGAACTGACCGTTTTTCTTTCTTTTTTCTGTCT